ATATCTTTTTCTATTTTTCTGCACATCTTTAACAGTTCACTACTTTGCAAAAAGTAGGGAAGTTTTTGGCAGAAACAATACGGAAAATGATGACACCGGAAGAAGTATGCTCCAAGCAATGTTTGGAATTGATCCAACTGAACCGAATAGTAAATTATCTCGCTCAAGCAAGTATTTATTGTGTTTATTTTTTCTGTTTTTGATCTTTCGTTTTTTTTTGGATGAAATGTAAATATATATTAACACCCAGAAAAACTTTACATCATATAGCTAAGATCTCCTAAACCCCCCCCCCCCCCAACCCCACATAAAATGGGGTGAAGAGAGGTTTTTCTTCGATCTTATCTATGGAAAACACCAAGTATACTTGGCCCATCTTTCGTGTTTTCACCCGCAGATTCAGCTGTACAAACATTGCAATTCAATATTTATTCACTGATGGGATCCTAACTACTGAGGACTTTTAAGAGGATGAGGTGTGATTCCACTAAGTTATAAGGGCGAGGTTCGCCTAATCACATTAAATTTGAAGTAAATGATAGGACTCTTAAAATTAGTGAAAAGAAACCCGACACGTTCCACTAAAACGTACAAATATTTATTGTTAAAGTAAAAAGCAGTCTATAGGACTCTTTGTGTTAGTAAAATGAGCCTGATAATATTCCCGTGTTATTATTGGGCAGTATGTTTAAAACTATTTCTGGTTGTGTGGTTATTTACATAGGCAACAGATGCATATGAGTAGCACTATGAAGGCGGATTTAAGAGTGGGCTTATCAGAATGAGGTGAGTGTTGTGCTTGACTTTTTATTTTTATGATAATGTATCATATAATTATGAGGCAGGCTCAATTATTATTTGACACTATGTTCAAAATTATTTCTGATTGTGTTTTGGTTTACATAGGCCGCAGATGCATATGAGGAGCACTATGAAGGCGGATTTAAGAGTGGGCTTATCAGACGGAGTTGAGTGTTGTGCTTGACTTTCTATTTTTTTGATAACGTGTGATAAAGTTACTATTGGTGGTGGTCGATAGGTATTTTGCCATCCCAAATTTAGGGGTGCTATTTTAAGATTACGGTGGTTGAATGATAAGGATAGTAAGTCTTTGATAACCTGTGAATCAATGATGTAGGCTGAATCACAACTAATGACTTGGACATTTTTAAAAGAGGATCGAACATTAAGTTTGAAGTAACTGATACGACTCTTAGAATTAGTAAAAAGAGCCTGAAATGTTCCACCAAAATCAATCTAGTTTGTGGTAATGCAGTGAGTTTGGTTTTTATTACAGGATGATCAATTAAACAAGAACAGATTAAGTTTCAAATGTGAGTAAATAATGGTGGCCTAGTGTAGGTAGGGATTAAAACCAGTATATATAGAAAGTTTTGCTAAGTTAATTGTTTATTTTCACGGCATGTGTTATTTTTTGAGAGTGTTTAAAATTATTTCCGAGGTTGTTTTTATTTACATAATGAGGCAGGCTCAATTTCACCGAATTGTTTTGACCTTTTTAAAATGAGTAATGGCTTATCAGACTGAGGTGAGTGTTTTGATTGTGTTGGTCGATAGGTATTTTGTCATCCCAAAATTAGGTGTGCTTTTTTCAATTTACCTGTGAATCTGTGTTGTATTTTCTATAACTGTAACGAGGTAGGCTCAATCATAACTAATTGCTTGGACATTTTTAAAAAGGGATCAGACATTATGTTTGAAGTAGCTTATAGGACTTAGATTTTGTAAAAAATGCCTGTAAATGTTCCAGCAAAACCTTCAGATATTTAATCTAGGTTAAACCAAGTTATGAAACTTATCGGATGAAAGGAAACCTCTATTTTATGGTGATGTGGTGAGGTTCTTTATTCTTACGTACGATCAATTAAACAAAAGTTTCAAATGTGAGTGAGCAAGTGTTATAAAAAGTTTGAAACGAGTGTATATAGAAAGTTTTGTTAAGTTTTTTGTTTATTTTATTTTCACGACGCAAGTGTTATTATTTGACACTATTTTTAAAATTATTTCTGGTTGTGTTTTGGTTTACATAGGCCGCAGATGCATATGAGGAGCACTATGAAGGCGGATTTAAGAGTGGGCTTATCAGACAGAGGTGAGTGTTGTGCTTGACTTTCTATTTTTATGATAACGTGTGATATAGTTACTATTGGTGGTGGTCGATAGGTATTTTGCCATCCCAAATTTAGGGGTGCTATTTTAATGATAAGGATAGTAAGTCTTTGATAACCTGTGAATCTATGATGTAGGCTGAATCACAACTAATGATGACATGCCAAAATGTGTAGTGTGAAATGGTGTAAAAATGTGAATGGAAATGTTGTTTTAATTGGCTTGTAACGATATAGTATAGAGTAAGTGAGTATCGTTCCGCTAGAGAATGACTCAAAAAGAGAACTAGAATTAATGATTGATTTTTAGCTAATCACAAATTGATAACATTTTGCAATGGAGCTAAGTGAACAGATTTTTTTATCTTGTTTTTATAAATGTGAAATTGCTAGGAAATAAAATAAATCACAATACTTGATAATTTAACAATTAATGATATAGTGAAAATTAGGCTTGGGCTAAGAGTGATTTTATTTTCATGTTCATAATAATAAAGATTTAACTGATTAACTTGGTTACTTTTAGGTGTGTGAAAGATTTTCAAATGGTAATCTTCTAATCGTTCCCACGACTTAGTTGATTACACTATCTTAAATTAATTCCGCTCCCGCGGTAATTTAATTAAGACAGTAAAAAGTACAAAATCAATTTATCCTAAATTCCTTAACACTTCCGTGTAGTAATTTAGTGGGTGAATTAAATAAATGGATTTTAATGAAATTTCACTCCCGTGATAATATTCATTTCCAATATTAATTTATTTAGCAGATTAGAGTATTCAACCCAACACTCCTAAAATTAACCAGTTAATAGTTTTAACCAATTATTATCTTATGAACATTAATAGTTAAAATTACATCTTGCCCAAACCTAAACTAATTTAGTTACACATAATTACAGTAAATGAAATAAAAGTAAAACTGATAATAGGCATAATTAATTTAACAGATTAAAGAAAATAAAATGAGTATTGGAATAAGAACCTGAAGGCATAAATAATGTAGAACATAGATGAACTGGAACAGAAAAAGATGCAATCCTTGTATAAAGCTGGCACTGATCGAACCCAAATGTGAATTTCTTGAATGAACTTTATTATTAATATGGAGTATATTGGAAGCTAAATAAACTTCTGAATATGAGAATTACGAACTGAAATATACAGAAGTGTTCTTGAGAGAATCACTTTTATTAATAAACAAAGCTAAAGAAAAGAAGCAAGGATGATTTCTATCTACTGGGTGTCTCCTTGAAGCTCCTGAATGACCCCTTTATATACTAGCAAAAGAAGGGTATAGCTCAGAAATATCTCCGAATGAAGATAAAGATCATTTAATTTGGATGGCCACTGATTTCAATCTTCACCAGATGTGATTGCCGATTTCTCATTTTTCTTCCTGCAAATAGCACCGGCCACTGTTCAGTTGTGCATTTTTCTTCGTCGGCCGCTGTGCTCCTCTGTTCGGCTAATGAAAGATGATGATGACAGCTTTGGTTCCAAGTGGATGCAATACAATTATTTGATCTCAATTTGTTTTCTTCTTGAGATTTCTTCTACGGTGGAGCCTTATTCACAATAATGGAGTGAATAATGTTGTCAGCTTGGCTCTTTGTTCGCCACTTCTTTATTTGGCCAGTTAGCTGTTTGATCAGTTAACTGGTCAAACAGTTAACCGGTACATTTTATTGTGGACAGTCTGATTTATTCTGAAATGAACTTCGGGTCTCTGTATAAATATTTCGAAGATAAAGTAAGGACTCGCTTCACTTTGATGATTTTTCCGTCTTCACTCGGGAGTAATATTTATTTCTTTTCAGAAATTAATATCCGTTCCGAATTATCCTGAAAATAAAAAATATACCAAAACAAGTGCAATACCTTCAGTGTGTCCAAGATGATAAAGATCAATCCTTTTTATTTAAAAATGAGAAATAAAGTATTAAAAGTGTGACAAAACAAGATCATAAATATGGTAAATTAGGAGTACATCAACTCCCCCATACTTAAGATTTTGCTTGTCCTCAAGCAAAAATATTTACATTCACACAAACAAACAAACAAGCAAGAAGAAAAAAAATGAATTTGCCAAATCATATGTACAACCCTCAAATTATGCAAACTTTCTTTTCACTCCACCTGGTCAATCAAATTCCCTTGACTTGTCACAAAATAAGAGTAGTGAGAATCATAAAAATATTTTGCATATCATTTGAAACATTTTGGTCAAATCTCAACTCTAACAAACACAAAGTGTGTGGTGTGAAAATGGAATCTAGCTTCATTTGTTCAATCATGCAAAATTATGCAAAATAAGATTTTCCTATCAACTTATTTCAGACAAAACACAATTAGGATCAATTAGGACTTTTAACATTGGGTTATAATGAGGTCTGTGGGATAGGCTTATGAACAAAGGGAATTAATGAGGAAACAAAAGAAATGAACTTGACATAAATTTAACAAATTTAAAGAGGTACTAAGTAGTGAGTAGGAGCTTTTGACAATAATCTATACAACACTTGTTATTTTTAATAGTTAGGGGTAGTAAACTAGTAACTAGTAAAAAGAGTAAATTAATGTACAAAAAAAAAATATACAAAAGAGAGAAGCATATACATGGATAATTAGCCTTGTTTAGATTTTTTTTTTTATTCTTTTTTTTTTTTCCTTTTTTCTGTTTATTTTTTTTTTTTTGACTTTTTTTTTGTTTTTTTTTTTTTTAATTTTTTTGTTTTTTTTTCAAGGCTTTTTAGTGCTTCTAACCATAAGAATTTACAAGAACAATATGTACAATGATGATACAACAAGAACAAATACCCCTATAAATGAATATTAACAACTAAGTAATCACAAAAATGTAATTATTAAAGCTCCCTAAATGTGAATGACACTCTCTAAACTCATTAAAATTTATGCAAGCCATTTTAGGGTGGTTGGAAAGTGTTTGGCTTTTAGGCTAAGGGTCACATATAACAGGTTTTTATGAAAGAAAATAAGAAAAGCAGGGTTAAGCGTATAACGCTTATTAAAAAAATGGCTCAAAGGGGGTGAACAAGGGATATTAATCACATGGGTAAGGCTAGGTATATGGGTTTATGAAAAATGGCCTATATCATTTCCTAATGTGCTAAGTCAGAAAATCATGTCAAGGAAAATAAAAGCACATAGCACTCTTGTTTTGCACAATTTTAAACATATTGAACAACAATTCACTAGATAACCATTTATGTGCATGAGAGGTTTTGTGTTTGTAAAAAGTTTAAAATTTTGACCAAAATTTTACTCAACGCTCAAAAATTATGATTCTCAATCCAATTATTAAGAGACAAGTCCCGCCAACAATCCACGTACCTTGTGAAAGAATAGAATGCATGATTTGAAAGTTATACAAATTGATAAGGCAGTTCACAAACACACAAACATGCATATTCTCCCCCCACACTTAAGACGAAACATCGTCCTCGATGTGACAAATATATACAGGGCGGGTGAGTAAATGGGTGGGAAAATAAAATTATTCAATGCAAACACACAAGCAAAACACACATTCAAATGCAAGTAAATAAGCTTGGGTTGCCTCCCAAGAAGCGCTATTTTTAACGTCGAGTGCCCGACATTACCTGGGTGGTTTACTCGTAAGGAGGATCATCCAGATGAACAGTGAGTTTCTCCTTTGTGTCATCTCCTTCATGGTATTGCTTAACTCTTTGGCCATTAACAGTGAATTGCCTCCCATCATTGGCCTCCAGAATGATTGCCCCAGATGGAAAGGCTTTGATAACTTTGAAAGGTCCAGACCATTTTGATTTCAGCTTTCCTGGAAAGAGTTTCAGCCTTGAGTTGAATAGTAGCACACTATCCCCAGGAGAAAAGTCTCTCCTAAGGATTCTTCCGTCATGCCATTTCTTTGCTCTTTCCTTGTAAAGTCGGGCATTCTCAAAGGCATCAAGTCTGAATTCTTCAAGTTCATTCAATTGTAGTAGCCTCTTTTTCCCTGCCAGAGTGTAGTCAAGGTTTAGGCTTTGGATAGCCCAAAATGCTTTGTGTTCAATCTCCACTGGTAAGTGACAAGACTTCCCATACACCAATTTGAACGGCGATGTCCCAATGGGAGTCTTATATGCAGTACGATAAGCCCATAAAGCATCATCTAATCGGAGGGACCAATCTTTCCTTGTGGGATTGACAACTTTCTCAAGGACTGATTTAATTTCCCTATTTGAGAGTTCAACTTGGCCACTAGTTTGTGCATGGTACGGAGTAGACACTTTGTGATTAACACCATACTTGAGCAAAAGTTTCTCAAGTTGTTTATTGCAAAAGTGTGTACCATTATCTGTGATGAAGGCCCTGGGAACTCCAAACCTTGAGAAAATAAATTTCTTTACAAACCGGATCACAACCTTGGAATCATTGGTTGGACTAGCAATCGCTTCAATCCATTTCGAGACATAGTCCACCGCCACAAGAATGTAAGAATTGCCACATGAGCTAGGAAATGGGCCCATAAAGTCCATTCCCCATACATCGAAGAGTTCAACTTCAAGTATTCCAGATTGTGGCATTTCATTTCGACGACCAATTGATCCCGTGCGTTGGCATCGATCACATCTTTTCACATACATTTGAGAATCTTTGAACAATGTAGGCCAATAGAAACCTGACTGCAGGACTTTAGCTGAAGTCCTAGTGGATCCGAAATGACCACCATATGGTGATGAATGACAATGATAAAGGATAGCCTCAAATTCATCTTCTGGGATGCATCTTCGAACAATTCCATCAGCACATCTCTTGAACAATAGTGGTTCATCCCAAAAATAGGAGCGAGCATCATGTAAGAACTTTTTCTTTTGGGCCCATGAGAATTCAGAAGGAATATAACCACTGACAAGGTAATTAACCCAATCAGCATACCAAGGAGAAAAGTGCTTGATTGAGAGTAAATATTCTCCCGTGAATGAATCATCAATGGGTAACACTTTAGTCGCTTCATTTTCTGTGTGTGGCTCAATTCTGGACAGGTGATCAGCAATGACATTTTCAGACCCTTTTTTGTCAAGGATCTCAATATCAAACTCCTGTAGTAGCAACACCCATCTAATAAGTCGTGGCTTGGCCTCCTTCTTCGCAAACAGGTACTTTAGAGCCGAGTGATCAGTGTAGACTATCACTTTGCTTCCAACAAGATATGACCTGAACTTCTCTATTGCAAAGACAACAGCGAGTAGTTCTTTTTCTGTTGTGGCATAGTTTTGTTGGGCATCATCGAGAGTATGGCTTGCATAATAAATTGCATGTATGCACCGACCTTGTTTCTGTCCCAACATGGCTCCTACAGCATAGTCACTAGCATCGCACATTAGGATGAAAGGCATGCTCCAATCTGGTGGTTGAATGACAGGTGCAGAACATAATGCTTTCTTAATTTTGCAAAAGGAATTAAGACAAGCATCGTCAAAGATAAACTCAACCTCTTTGGACAGGAGTCTTGTGAGTGGTTTTGCAATATTAGCAAAATCCTTGATGAATCGCCGATAGAATCCGGCGTGCCCTAGAAAACTTCGGATGCCTTTAACAGATGTTGGTGGTGGTAACTTCTCAATCACTTCGATCTTTGCTGGATCTACCTCAATGCCTTTGGATGAAATCTTATGCCCAAGAACAATTCCCTCTGTTACCATGAAATGGCACTTCTCCCAGTTTAGAACAAGATTTGCCTCTTGGCAACGAGTCAGTGCTTTATCAAGATTATCCAAGCACGAACCAAATGAGGTCCCATAAACAGAGAAATCATCCATGAATACCTCCATGATTTCTTCAATAAGATCAGAGAATATGGCCATCATACACCGTTGGAAAGTTCCGGGTGCATTACATAGGCCAAATGACATTCTTCGAAAAGCAAATGTACCATAGGCACACGTGAAGGTAGTCTTTTCTTGATCATCTGGATGGATCATGATTTGAAAATATCCTGAAAATCCATCTAGAAAGCAATAATGGCTATGGTTTGCCATCCTTTCAAGCAACTGATCAATGAAAGGTAAAGGATAATGATCCTTATTTGTGACTTTGTTCAGCCTCCTGTAATCGATGCACATTCTCCATCCCGTGACCAAACGAGTAGGAATGAGCTCATTGTGCTCATTTGGAACAACTGTGAAACCTCCTTTCTTTGGTACAACATGGATTGGACTTACCCATCTGCTGTCCGAGATAGGGTAAATGATTCCGGCATCAAGAAGTTTGATAACTTCTTTCTTCACAACATCCTTCATGTTAGGGTTGAGCCTCCTTTGATGTTCAACTACTGGTTTGCAACCTTCCTCAAGATATATTCTGTGCATACAATAGTTAGCACTGATGCCAATTAGATCATCAATGGAGTATCCAATGATCCGTTTGTGTTTTCTCAGCAGGGTCAATAGTTTGTCTACTTCTTCCTCGTTCAACTTAGTGCTAATAATCACTGGGTAAGTGGAGTTTTCACCAAGATAAGCATATCTTAGGTGTGATGGTAAAGGCTTCAACTCATTTTTGGGTGGTTCTTTTGTGTTGTTAGCCTCCCTCACTTCTTCTTTCACCAGTTTTACCACTTCCTTCCCCTCGTGATTCTTTTTACAACTCTCTTTGTTTTTTACACACTCAACTAACTCTTCTCCCTCATGATTATTTTCAATTTCCTCCACATCATAAACTTCCATAGGATCATTGTGAAAGAATCCCATGAAGTCTCTCACACATTCATCAACTATATCAACCCTCCAACAATCTTCCATACATGCAGGATTTCTCGCCATTTGGAAAATATTGAATTCAACCCTTTCATCCCCCACTTCAATTATTAACGTACCTTTTTTAACATCAATGATGGCACCGGCAGTGGCCAAGAAAGGTCTTCCCAATATGACAGGTACTCGCTCATCTTCATCCATGTCTAGGACGACAAAGTCACAAGGGATGAAATATTTCCCAACCTGTACAGGAATGTCTTCAAGAACACCAACAGGGTGCTTAACAGATCGGTCAGCAAGCTGAATGGTCATTGAAGTAGCCTTGGGAATACCAAGACTAAGGCGCTTGCTCATAGAATAGGGGATAAGGCTAACACTAGCCCCAAGGTCGCATAAAGCTTTGTTGACCATGAACCCTCCAATTATGCATGGTATAGTAAAGCTACCTGGATCCTTCAATTTTTCAGGAAGTTTCTTCTGAATGATAGCACTGGATCCCTCGCTCATGGCTATTGTAGCTTTCTCCTCGAACTTCTTTTTGTTTGACAGAATTTCCTTCAGAAATTTGGAATATGAAGGCATATGTTTTAGAGCATCAAGAAGCGGGATTGTTGTGTTCAACTCACCGATCCATTTAAGGAATTTATCCCTCCTCTCATCAATTGTATTCTTCTTTGCTCTGTGAGGAAATGGTAAAGGTGGAGCATATGGTTGCACTACCTTTTTTAAACCTTCATTTGCAGAAGAAGTAAGATCTTCTTCATTATTTTCCTTTGATGGTGAAGCCTCCTTTTCAGGAATCTTTTCTTTCTCAACTATAAGTGGTGGATCAGAAAGTTGTTTTCCACTCCTTGTAGTGACTGCATTGACATTCTCCTTGGGATGTTCAGAGTAGGCAGGCAACTTTCCTTGAGCTTTGCTAGTTGATGGTGAAGCAAAACTAGCAATTTGGCTCTCTAACATTTTGTTGTGAGCTTGAATTTGATTGAGTTGAGTTGTGAGTTGAGAGAATTGATTAGTAATTCCTTGCATCATCTGTTGGAAATCATTAACTCCAACGAATTGTTGTTGTTGTGGTGGTGGCAATTGTTGTTGCGGTGGATAACCTTGAGGATTTTGGTACCCTTGATTTCCCCTCAATTGTTGGTTGTTTTGGTTTCCTCTGAATCCTTGCTGATTTTGAAATCCAGGAGGTGTTGGTTTGGATGGAAAAGATGGATTTGCTGCACCTGATGAATTACTCCATGAAAATCCTGGATGTGTCTTCCCTTGAGGATTATAGTTTCCTTGATATGGTACTTGAGGTCTACCATATATAGCATCGGCTTGTTCTACTGTGGGGCCAGAAGGAACGTTTTGTGTAAGTTCTAGAAGATTGCATTCCTTTGCAGAATGCCCTCCTCCACAGAGTTCACAGAACAAAACTTGAGCTAAAGATGATGATGGATTTGTTGATTTGCTAGAAGTTGATGATGATTGCTTCTCAGTGAGCTTTTGGATCATGTTTGTGAGAGAATCAACCTTTGCTGTTAAAGCTGTTGTTTGGTCAACCTCATAAATTCCCGCTCCTAGCTTTTGAGTGGATCTTTCAGAATACCATGATGCACTGTTGTTGCAAATTTTCTCAAGCATCTCTTTTCCAGTTTGAGGATCAAGCTCCATGAAAGCTCCATTAGCAGAGGCATCCACAACAATTTTGGAATTATCATGTAATCCTTCATAAAATGAGACAATGAGATCACCCATGCTCATATTATGATGTGGATATTGAACTTGAAGATCTTTGAATCTCTTCCATGATTCGTAAAGAGATTCAGATGGTTGTTGTCTGAATTGTTGGATCAGTTTCTTCATTTTTGATGCCTTAGAAGGAGGATAGAACTCCTTCATGAAATCTCTATGCAACTTCTCCCATGTGTTGAAATAACCGGATGGTTTAGAGTTCAACCAACTCAATGCTTCATCCCTCAGTGAGAATGGAAACAATCTGAGTCTGATGGCATCAACAGAGGCTCCATTAAGCTTAAGAGTTTGGAGAACTCTCAAGAATTGCTTCACATGGCTCGTCGGATCTTCATTCTTTGATCCGCCAAATTTGTTGGCTGAGACCAATGAGATAAGTGCTGGTTTGATCTCAAAATTTGCTGCATCCACACCTGGATATAGAATGCTATCTTGTTCCTCAATTTCACCTGCAACATAATCAAGAAGTCTTCTTCCTTGTTGTTGTTGTTGTTGTCTCATGAACTGCCCTTGACCTTGTTGATTATGTGGGTGTTGGTAATATTGGCCATATGGGTGAGGTTGATATGGGTGTATAAACGGAGGAGGTGGGTAAGGATAAGGGTATGTGTATGGATATGGTGGAGGTTGGTTTTGGTGATTTTGGTAGGGATGTGGTGGATAAAATTGGGGTTGTGTTTGGGGAGGAATTTGTTGGAAATTTTCAAATCCAGGGGGTCTTTGATCTCCAAAGAAAGGATTGTGTCCATCTCTTGGAGTATTAATGGGTGTATTTTGTGGTGGCGTAGGATTTGGATTTGGAATTAGGTTTTGGCCATTTGGATTATTGGGGTTGTTTTGAAGATCCTCCATGATCAAATGTGGAATTTTAAGTTCAACGGTTCGTGCCTTTCTTCTTTTCCTTAATTCTTTTTCAAAATCAAGGTTAAGTGATTGCAATCCTTCACTCCCTTGAGAGCGAGTATGCATACACTATTTTTTGATTTTTTTTAAAAAAAAAATGCAAGAAAAATGATTATATTTTTTTTTTAAATTTTTTTTTTACTTACAAAGTTGATGATAACAGGTATAAAAAAAAAACTTAGTCTCCAGATAAATAAAAAAAACAAACACTAATATTAACTAATAATCAATCATTAACACTATGCCATCCCCGGCAACGGCGCCAAAATCGTGACATGCCAAAATGTGTAGTGTGAAATGGTGTAAAAATGTGAATGGAAATGTTGTTTTAATTGGCTTGTAACGATATAGTATAGAGTAAGTGAGTATCGTTCCGCTAGAGAATGACTCAAAAAGAGAACTAGAATTAATGATTGATTTTTAGCTAATCACAAATTGATAACATTTTGCAATGGAGCTAAGTGAACAGATTTTTTTATCTTGTTTTTATAAATGTGAAATTGCTAGGAAATAAAATAAATCACAATACTTGATAATTTAACAATTAATGATATAGTGAAAATTAGGCTTGGGCTAAGAGTGATTTTATTTTCATGTTCATAATAATAAAGATTTAACTGATTAACTTGGTTACTTTTAGGTGTGTGAAAGATTTTCAAATGGTAATCTTCTAATCGTTCCCACGACTTAGTTGATTACACTATCTTAAATTAATTCCGCTCCCGCGGTAATTTAATTAAGACAGTAAAAAGTACAAAATCAATTTATCCTAAATTCCTTAACACTTCCGTGTAGTAATTTAGTGGGTGAATTAAATAAATGGATTTTAATGAAATTTCACTCCCGTGATAATATTCATTTCCAATATTAATTTATTTAGCAGATTAGAGTATTCAACCCAACACTCCTAAAATTAACCAGTTAATAGTTTTAACCAATTATTATCTTATGAACATTAATAGTTAAAATTACATCTTGCCCAAACCTAAACTAATTTAGTTACACATAATTACAGTAAATGAAATAAAAGTAAAACTGATAATAGGCATAATTAATTTAACAGATTAAAGAAAATAAAATGAGTATTGGAATAAGAACCTGAAGGCATAAATAATGTAGAACATAGATGAACTGGAACAGAAAAAGATGCAATCCTTGTATAAAGCTGGCACTGATCGAACCCAAATGTGAATTTCTTGAATGAACTTTATTATTAATATGGAGTATATTGGAAGCTAAATAAACTTCTGAATATGAGAATTACGAACTGAAATATACAGAAGTGTTCTTGAGAGAATCACTTTTATTAATAAACAAAGCTAAAGAAAAGAAGCAAGGATGATTTCTATCTACTGGGTGTCTCCTTGAAGCTCCTGAATGACCCCTTTATATACTAGCAAAAGAAGGGTATAGCTCAGAAATATCTCCGAATGAAGATAAAGATCATTTAATTTGGATGGCCACTGATTTCAATCTTCACCAGATGTGATTGCCGATTTCTCATTTTTCTTCCTGCAAATAGCACCGGCCACTGTTCAGTTGTGCATTTTTCTTCGTCGGCCGCTGTGCTCCTCTGTTCGGCTAATGAAAGATGATGATGACAGCTTTGGTTCCAAGTGGATGCAATACAATTATTTGATCTCAATTTGTTTTCTTCTTGAGATTTCTTCTACGGTGGAGCCTTATTCACAATAATGGAGTGAATAATGTTGTCAGCTTGGCTCTTTGTTCGCCACTTCTTTATTTGGCCAGTTAGCTGTTTGATCAGTTAACTGGTCAAACAGTTAACCGGTACATTTTATTGTGGACAGTCTGATTTATTCTGAAATGAACTTCGGGTCTCTGTATAAATATTTCGAAGATAAAGTAAGGACTCGCTTCACTTTGATGATTTTTCCGTCTTCACTCGGGAGTAATATTTATTTCTTTTCAGAAATTAATATCCGTTCCGAATTATCCTGAAAATAAAAAATATACCAAAACAAGTGCAATACCTTCAGTGTGTCCAAGATGATAAAGATCAATCCTTTTTATTTAAAAATGAGAAATAAAGTATTAAAAGTGTGACAAAACAAGATCATAAATATGGTAAATTAGGAGTACATCAAATGACTTGGACATTTTTAAAAGAGGATCGAACATTAAGTTTGAAGTAACTGATGCGACTCTTAGAATTAGTAAAAAGAGCCTGAAATGTTCCACCAAAATCAATCTAGAGATATTTATTGTTTAATCCAGGTTCAACGGAGTTATGAAATTTATAGATTAAGTTTTTCTATATTTATTGGTTTTTATTACAGGATGATCAATTAAACAAGAATAGATTATTTTTCAAATGTGAGTAAATAATGGTGGCCTAGTGTCGGTAGGGATTAAAACCAGTATATATAGAAAGTTTTGCTAAGTTAATTGTTTATTTTCACGGCATGTGTTATTATTTGAGAGTATGTTTAAAATTATTTCCGAGGTTGTTTTTATTTACATAATGAGGCAGGCTCAATTTCACCAAATTGTTTTGACCTTTTTAAAATGGGATCGAACGTTAAGTTAAAAGCCGTCTGTATGACTCTTTGTGTTCGTAAAAAGAACCTGATAATATTCCTCCTAAACCTACACAATTTTATTGTTCAATCTAGATTTGTCCAAGTTATAAAATTTACCAGGCAAAATGAAACCTATAGTTTTATGGTATCCAGTGAGTTTGATCTTCATTACGAGATGACAAATAGATGAATAAAAGTTTAAGTTATAAATGTGGCTGAACATGGATCGGGAGATTCAAAACCAGTATATGTAGAAAGTTTTGCTAACTTACTGTTTATTTTATTTTCACGGCGTAAGTGTCATCATACGACATTATGTTTAAAATTATTTTTGGTTGTGTTTTGGTTTACATAGGTCACAGATCCATATGAGGAGCACTATGAAGGCGGATTTAAGTGTGGGCTTATCAGACGGAGGTTAGTGTTGTGATTGACTTTTTATTTTTATGATAATGTATCATATATTCATTGATTGTGTTGGTCGATAGGTATTTTGTCATCCCAAAATTAGGTGTGCTTTTTTCAATTTACCTGTGAATCTGTGTTGTATTTTCTATAACTGTAACGAGGTAGGCTCAATCATAACTAATTGCTTGGACATTTTTAAAAAGGGATCGGTCATTATGTTCGAAGTAGCTTATAGGACTTAGAATTTGTAAAAAATGCCTGTAAATGTTCCAGCAAAACCTTCAGATATTTAATCTAGGTTCAACCAAGTTATGAAACTTATCGGATGAAATGAAACTTCTATTTTATGGTGATGTGGTGAGGTTTTTTATTCTTACGTACGATCAATTAAACAAAAGTTTCAAATGTGAGTGAGTAAGTGTTATAAAAAGTTTGAAACGAGTGTATATAGAAAGTTTTGTTAAGTTTTTTGTTTATTTTATTTTCACGACGCAAGTGTTATCATTTGACACTATGTTTAAAATTATTTCTGGTTGTGTTTTGGTTTACATAGGCCGTAGATGCATATGAGGAGCACTATGAAGGCGGATTTAAGAGTGGGCTTATCAGACAGAGGTGAGTGTTGTGCTTGACTTTCTGTTTTTATGATAACGTGTGATATAGTTACTATTGGTGGTGGTCGATAGGTATTTTGCCATCCCAAATTTAGGGGTGCTATTTTAAGATTACGGTTGTTTAATGATAAGGATAGTAAGTCTTTGATAACCTGTAAATCTATGATGTAGGCTGAATCACAACTAATGACTTGGACATTTTTAAAAGAGGATCGAACATTGAGTTTGAAGTAACTGATGCGACTCTTAGAATTAGTAAAAAGAGCCTGAAATGTTCCACCAAAATCAATCTAGAGATATTTATTGTTTAATCCATGTTCAACAGAATTATGAAATTTATAGATTAAGTTTTTCTATATTTATTGGTTTTTATTACAGGATGATCAATTAAACAAGAATAGATTATGTTTCAAATGTGAGTAAATAATGGTGGCCTAGTGTCGGTAGGATTAAAACCAGTATATAGAGAAAGTTTTGCTAAGTTAATTGTTTATTTACACGGCATGTGTTATTATTTGAGAGTATGTTTAAAATTATTTCCGAGGTTGTTTTTATTTACATAATGAAGCAGGCTCAATTTCACCAAATTGTTTTGACCTTTTTAAAATGGGATCGAACGTTAAGTTAAAAGCCGTCTGTAGGACTCTTTGTGTTCGTAAAAAGAACCTGATAATATTCCTCCCAAACCTACACCATTTTATTGTTCAATCTAGATTTGTGCAAGTTATAAAATTTACCAGGCAAAATAAAACCTATAGTTTTATGGTATCCAGTGAGTTTGATCTTCATTACGAGATGACAAATAGATGAATAAAAGTTTAAGTTATAAATGTGGCTGAACATGGATCGGGAGATTCAAAACCAGTATATGTAGAAAGTTTTGCTAACTTACTGTTTATTTTATTTTCACGGCGTAAGTGTCATCATACGACATTATGTTTAAAATTATTTTTGGTTGTGTTTTGGTTTACATAGGTCACAGATCCATATGAGGAGCACTATGAAGGCGGATTTAAGTGTGGGCTTATCAGACGGACGTTAGTGTTGTGATTGACTTTTTATTTTTATGATAATGTATCATATATTCATTGATTGTGTTGGTCGATAGGTATTTTGTCATCCCAAAATTAGGTGTGCTTTTTTCAATTTACCTGTGAATCTGTGTTGTATTTTCTATAACTGTAACGAGGTAGGCTCAATCATAACTAATTGCTTGGACATTTTT